TGGAAGTGGCTCTGACAGCATGGGCATGATCATGGAGATGAGCCTGTTGGTGAATAGGACAGATGTATTGTGATGTATTACGATGTATCTTGGACATGATCGCTCTGTCCTTGGTGAACTGGTGTTCCAGTTCTCATGTGTGACATTAAGGAATGGGCAATTTTGCCGTTGTCGTTAATTTCTGTAATATCAGCCATAAAGGTAGAATGATTGTGGGTAGTAACTTTCTGATATTTGCACATTTGAATTTTAGTAATAGATGGTGGTGATTGGTCAGTTGAAGATATGATGTCCCAGTGTTTCATTGTTGAACAAAATTAGTTACTTGCATTTTAGTAATTCACAAAGCTGATTGGTCAGTACTGTCATGATGCTTCACTGTTGAGAAAAGTATCTGCGGTTTGTTCTCATCATGTCACAATATGACCACATCTGAACTGTCGGCTGACTTCACTGTTTCCCTGTCAACTTGACTTTTCAAATGTGTTTTCTTCATTTTTGTTCTAAACATGTCTTTGAGATACATATAGAGCAACATATTCGAAACCAAGTTTTACAGATTATTTATCTCTCATGAATGAAGTTATAAAGGAATTAGTTGACGCTTGTTGCTCCAAAAGTGGGTTCAATTCTTCACATGAGTACAATGAGTGAGGACCATTTCTGTCCCCCACTATGATACTGCTGGAATAAAGCTAAAAGTGGCATAAAACCTTGCTCGCTCGCTCGCTCACTCACTCACTCACTCACTCACTCACTCACTCACTCACTCACTCACTCACTCACTCACTCACTCACTCACTCACTCACTCACTCACTCACTCACTCACTCACTCACTCACTCACTCACTCACTCACTCACTCACTCACTCACTCACTCACTCACTCACTCACTCACTCACTGCCCAGATCATTTTGATATAATAATTCATATTACCACATGGTGTTTTTTAGTTTCTATTTCATGTTGAAGTTAAGTGAAATATCTGAGCTCTTTGAGCCTTTAAGAATCATTTGCATGGATAAAATAATGCTTGGAACTCTGTCATTGCATGCATCTTTTGGAATAAGGGAGTGCGGTGGGGTAGCATAGTGGTCACGCGCTACGCTGAAGACCCGGGTCGATTCCCCACATAGGTACAATGTGTGAAGCCCATTTCTAGTGTCCCCAGCCGTGATATTGCTGGAATATTGCTAAAAGCGGGGTAGAATCAAACTCACTCACTCACTCACTTGGAATAAGGATGCCCCTTATTCTGTCACCCTGCCCTTTTTGGATCCTGGGGAAACCCTACTTCCAAAGATGCTCTGTACTCCAATCCAATCTGACAACTCAATATGACCACCGTGAGAAATCCATGACTTCCTGCAGATTAATGTGTGATTTGTACACAAAGCCTTTACAATAACCTCAGACTTTGAACAACTGTCATTTATTTAAGACGACATAATGTCCTCCATAAAGTCTAACGAACAATACAAGAGTAATACTTAAGCAAATCAATCTCCATGAAATAATCATTTCTAAGGTCGGCGCTACTCCATACAGGTAACGATCCCACCATGAGGGGATCAGAAGAATACTTCATTAAACAGATAAGGTTCCCAGACCAATATGAAAGATTTACGGCTTTACTTTGATCCTACTCTCATACTTCGTTCCTCATGGAAGAATGCTTGTTGATTTTCATTGCTTATTTCATATTATTGTGTTAGGTCTGCGACTGGAGTAGGATACACATCCTATTAGACTTGTATTATGTCCACTGACTGTAAGAACGACAGCAGTCCTTGACTGGGATTCAGGTTGATGATGAACTGCTGGGATTCAGGTTGTTGATGTGAAGGGGGTCGTATCAAAAGTGGAAATGTTGATTTTTTGTGATTATCATTAATGGTTCCTGAAAAAAGTGAGTATGGTTTTACATCACTTTCAAAATATTCCAGCCACATCAAGTCAGGGAATGCCAGATATGGGCTTTGGTTTCCGAAGAAAATAGGACATGTTGTCTTTTATGAATTGATCTTTTAATGTAAAAATATTTATTTATTTATTTATTTATTTATTTATTTATTTATTTTTTTTATTTACTTTTTATTTATTTATTTATTTATATTTCACTTGGTTAATTTGTAATCTGTGCTTGTATTAAAGGTATGTAATTCGATATGGTGATAAGACTCGGTGATTTTGTTGATTTATGTCATTCTACCCAGACTGCTGCTCATAACATCACTCACTGGATTCAAGGTACAATTAGCCTCCAGAAAACTATGCTTGTATTATGAGGGTTATTAATGAATCAGGTTAATATCACACTCAGTGACTTGGTTGATGCTACAAATTTCAGTGCTCACAATATCAATCACTTGATTATCTGGTCCAGAGTCAGTTACTGACAGACACAAAGCTGGATTGTTGCTGATCGAGTTTTAATTTTGAAAAACAAACATTTTGTCATAATGAGTATCACACTCACTTTCCCCAAAACCTACTGATAGAAACTGTATTGAGAGAACCTCTGTGTATTTATGCAAGAAATAGGTCTGTCCCTGAAGGCCTGAAGTGAGTTATTACGATATTTTGAATATGACATGGTCCCTCCTACAAAGCTTTTAGCACTAGTCCGTGGTGTGGGCGGATTGGTGCTTGTGTATCTTACAGTCCCTTAAAGTTCACATCTCTTAATAAATCAATTTGTAGCGTGGTTTGATTATTGAATTCTGAGAATGTCCTGGTCCTGATTTCTTTAGCTTCAATAATTGCCCTATGGCAGTCGGCAATTCTTATCATTCTAATGATAAGTGTTGTTAGGGACTGAACAGCCAGATAAGTGTTGTTAGTGGCTGAACGTACAGATAAGTGTTGTTAGGGACTGACCATTGATGTTTGGAGGGGGAGGGGGTGATAAGTGAGTGAGTGAGTGAGTATGGTTTAACACCGCTTTTAGCAATATTCCAGCAGTATCACAAGGGGGGACACCAGAAATGGGCTTCACACATTGTACCCATGTGGGGAATCGAACATGGGTCTTTGGGGTGATGAGCAAACGCTTTAACCACTAGGCTACCCCACCGCCACAGGGGGTGATGATGAGGAAGGGGATTTATCATCACAACTGATATCACTGGTGAAATAAATAATCTCCTGGAAGATAAAACTATAATGACATTGCATCACAATGCTTTTCAGACCATTGTGACATCATTGGTTATCATGATGTCACAATCAAATGACATCACTAAGCTCATGCCATTGAAGTGGATGAGGGTACTTTTCACACATTTAAAGACTGTTAGTATATACAATGATATAACATCTTACAATTCCTGGAAGTGACGCATGCCACATTTATCCATCTTGGTACCCATAGGTTAAATCCTTGTTCACATACCGGGGTTAGAATTGATCTTCAGCAACCCGTGTTTGGCGACTTATCAGAATAGGTGGTCTGGTGGCCTGACTTGGTTGGCTCATGTCGTCACATTCCATTTGTGTTGCTTTATGCTCATGATGTTGATCACTGGACGGTCTGACTATTTACAGACCACCTTCAAAGAAGCTTGAATACTGTCGAGTGTTGGTTATTTAATACCTCGAATGATCACTGGATTGTGTGGTCCAGACTTAATTATTTACAGACTGCTGTCATATCATTGGAATATTGCTAATTACGGCATTTAACAGCAATCACTGGGTTGTCTGGTCTAGACTTAATAATTTACAAACTGCCTTAATGCAGCCATATTAACAGACCACTGTCATTGAACTAAAATCTTCCTGAGTGCCAAATTAAACAACAAGCAAACAATTATTATCTATTTCTTCGATTCAGACAACAAAATATTTTTGCAAACATTTATTCAACTAAAATCCATGATGAAACCAGACAGGAATATGATTTTTGCAGTAAATATTGAATCTCATGACAAAGGATAATGTCTGTCAAAATGACATTGTTGTGTTCGGCCGGTGGGGTAGCCTAGTGGTTAAAGCGTTGGCCGTCACGCCAAAGACCCGGGTTCGAATCCCAACATGGGTACAATGTGTGAAGCCCATTTCTGGTGTCCCCCGCTGTGATGTTGCTGGAATATTGCTAAAAGCGGCGTAAAACCAAACTCAGTCAGTTGTTGGGTTCAATTAAATACACAATTTAAGTTGATTTTTCTGGCCATTTTGTCAGGTATTTAAACAATAGAAAATGCATTTTCATGCTGTTTCCATCGTTCTATATTTTATAGAAACACACAAATATTTAGCTTTGCAAATACTTATTTTTGTTATTTTCTTTACCCAATCAATCAATTAATATGATGTCCTAAAGTGAAAACATGAAAATGCAGCCATGAGCCTCCTGTGCATTTCAAAATAGAATTCATGATTTCAGTGTTCAAAGGTTAAACAACAGAATATGAGATTAAGAAAAGCAAATTGCTCTACAGGAATGAATGAATGAAACTCCATCTTTGACCTTTTCACTTATGATAATAAAGGTTTCCTTAAAATAAATCATGTAAAACATCTAATTTTCCTCCACAGGGGAGGAAGGTTGTGACAGAAATACACTGTCATGCTGTTTGGTAAATATGATCAGTCAAGTGTAATTATGTGGGTTTGGGTTTTACATTTCAGTCAACCAGCCTTACACAGCATAAGGGCCTTGATGAACAAATCATGAGCCCTGAATATGAATATGTACTCATCTCCAAAATATCCAATGGTTCATTAGGAGAGAATACAAAGAATCAGTATCTAGTGTTCTTGTTTGGGGCCACTGTGTCTGACTCAAGAGCCCTGAATATGGTTATGTGTATAAGGATAAACATCCAGAATGTTAAATGGTGAGGTTTCCATAATTTCTAATTATCCTTGCATGAACTAGTTTATGCTTGTTTGGGGCCATGATGTCTCAGTCCAGCCACAGAATGGTTTTCATTGAATGCTCATGTTAGTTTATAGTCTCACATTGCAAACTGATTATTTCCTGTCTTGGTTGCAGCTTGGAACTGGTACTATGATATTGGCGCCTGTCTACTGTTGCCATGGTGACATATATTTGGTAAGTTCCGCTGTCTTTGTTCTGTCACCCTGTTGAAACAGGGTTAACCAATTGTATGATTACCCATGAATTAAAGGTTGAAATTGAGTGGAACAAATTCCTGATATTTGCAATTATGTATGTTAGTGAGAGATCATTTGCTGGATGTATGGACAAAAGTGCTGTGGAATGGAAATTGTTTGTCCCATCTCAAAGAAAAACATTTCATCTTGATACACAAGTCCCAACAGAATAAATGGTCTGTGCTAAACTGATTATCAAAGGTGATGCTAAATTTTTCTGCTCTGTTCAATGGTATGTGACAAAGTACATGTGTACTAAACTACAAAACAGATACTCCCTGAATTAGTAACATCATATAGTGACCGACAGAATACTGACTCTGAGGCGGCCAAGCAGTTCCCTTAATGCTGAACACCAGGCAGGCTAACAACAAGTACATTTTTTATTTCAAGGTCATTTAGGACCCATGAAGGTCTGGGTTAGAATTGGTTTCAGCAACCCATGCTTGTCGTAAGAGTCAACTAATCATGATCAGTGATCGGGTGGTCCGGCTCGCTGACTTTGTTGACACATGTCATCGTATCCCAATTGCGTAGTCGGTGCTCATGCTGTTGATCACTGGATTGTCTGGTGGAGACTTGATTATTTACAGACCGCCGGTTGATGTCGGCTTCATTATCAAAATTGGAAAGGGGGAAAGTAATGCTATTTCATCCATGGCCATATTATACCAGAGTCGATTATTTACAGACTACCGCCATATAGCTTGAATATTGCTGAGTGTGGCGTAAAACTAAACTCACTCACTCGCTCTTTTCATCTGCCAGAGCTGAGGCTTGAACCACCAACCTTCCTGTTTCCAGCAGTTCTGCTATGTCCCACATGACTTTATGCCAGAATTTCCTTGCAGTAAATCCTGACTTACTGTAGTTTATGATGTTTTTTAATGTTTCTTCTTTGAAATATATTTATAGATTTTCTATCATATTTCTTGAGCCAATATGGCCATGAAATGTGACTCTTGTATATTTGACCTTAAATATCTTTTATCAATTATATATATTTTTATGTTTTCTATCAGTTTACTAGAGTCATCTAGTTAACCTACCGATTCCAGAAAATTAATAGCAAGCATATTTTTTAAGAGATTTGATTACAGGTACTGAAGGATGCTGCTAGGGAAAACGTCTAAGAGTTGAGATTTTTATGTGGGTTTAATGTTTTCCTGGCATAAAAAAGCTGATGGTATCGGCACAGCTGTTTGGATGATGGGGAGGGAAGCTGTTTTCACCTGTGGTTATGGCTCGATGACCTGTTCGTTGCTGCAGCAAGATGAGTACGGTAGCCATATTTGTTACTGCAAACTGTTTGTCAGTCTAAGCAGTAGAGGGTGATTGTTTTGTGAGATATATAGGAAATAAGCATATATAGACAAACTTTCACTTTCAGTGAATTGTCTAAGGAAGTATCTAGTTGTGACAAGGGACCAACCTGATTCAATCTGTACCAGTGTGGGGGGCGGTAATGGGTAGCCTAATGGTTAAAGCGTCCACTGGTCATGCCGAAGACCCAGGTTCGATTCCCCACATGGGTACAATGTGTGAAGCCCATTTCATGTGTCCCCTGCCATGATGTAGCTGGAATATTGCTAAAAGTGGCGTAAAATCATACTCACTCATTCACTCACTCACTCACTCTACCAGTGTGAAACCCAATTTAATTGCAACCAGTGTGAAACCCAATTTAATCGCAACCAGTGTGAAACCCAATTTAATCTCTTCCAGTGTCCTACCTGATCTAGTTTTAGATGTAACCTGCCTGATTTAATCTCTACTTATGTCTTATCTTATTTAATATCTAGCTAACAGTAACTGTCATGATTTTGCCTCTACCTATATCCTACTATATATAAGACCTACCTGTAACCTGATTGAGTTGCCCTCTACAGTTGCCCGTCGATTTTTGACAGGTTTTAATCTTCAAAATATTTTCACTTTTTATTGTATAAATTGTTTTCGTCACGATATGGCTGAGATATTGCCGATGTGACGTTAAATATTAACTCACTCACTCACTCCAGCTGTGACCTATCTGGTTAAATCTTTATGAACAGGTACAGATCCAGGTTAGAACTGGTCTTATCCTAACCCTAACCAAAAGTAAACTCGCGTGCTTTCAAAGATGGCTGAATAATCCGGTATGCTGTAATCTTACCGAAAAAATTATCAAGTTGTCGGTCCAAGAATATTGTTTGCATATTCTTCAAGAAAAGCATGTCTTGAAGTGTATTATGATATAATGTCGTAGCTAAAGACCAAGCCAACCCTCCCACCCAAATATTATGTGCTTGTTCTCGCCTTATCTGGCCCCTTATCTGTCATCAGCTGCTTCTAAAGATCCCATAGATCTACCTGCAGCTTGTTTACCCACTCTTTCCTACCTGTCAAAACATACAATAACGGATGTAGTGTGCGTTATCTGTTTTTGTGCAAGGATCATTTGGAAACCATTATATGACTAAACATACAAACATGTTCGTACACTGAGAGCAACATAGACTAGCAACTAATCTCTGAAATGAACATGCTTTACAGAAACTAAGAGTTCTTAAAAATGAAATATGATGAAAAGGAGATCTGAGACTTTCTTCATTTTCGAAACTGTGGAAATATGGGCTTGCCACATATTCTAGACTTTCATGGGCTTTCTTGTATGACAGACTGAGAGCAATGGTGTGATCATACATTCAGTATGCTTAGATATGGCACCTTGTTGAAAGTAGTTTTCTTTGAAATTAAGTGATTAATGGTGGGTAAAGTTTTGCTTTTGTGATAAAGACCAGGTTTCCGGTCTTTGAGTGGTATAGTGTGTGTTTTGTTTGTTTGCTGGTTATGTGTGATGAGACCCGGTTTGATTCCCCACATGGGTACAATGTGTGAAACCCCATTTCTGGTGTCTCCCGCTATGATATTGCTGGAATATTGCTAAAAGCGGTGTAAAAGTAAACTCACTCACTCACTCACCCACCCACCCACTCACTCACTCACTCAGTGTGTGATGTTACAGCTATAGGGGCAATGTGTAAATACATCTTGACCAGACAATCAAGTGATTGACACTAGCATTGATCTAGATAATAGGGATACAATGACGTGCATCAACTAAGCCATCAGGCTTGCACAAGTCTCAAGGGCAATAATTAATAGTTTAAATGAAAACTTCTGAAAAAATATAAATAGCAGACTTGCGTCCTTATCTAGATCTCAAAGAATAGAATTACAGTCATCCCTCCCCATCACGCGGGTCTTGGGGTCCATGCATGACCCCACGCGTTATTAGACACCCGCGTTATAGTAACGATTACATCACGCGGAACAAAGGTTAAGTAAAATCGTATTTACCATGGACATAACAAAACTGCTATTTCGTGTATTGTGCCCAGTCAAAACTATATCGTATTATTGTAGGTGTGAAAAACTTACGTTGTAAATGGGAATAGATGTATCTACATGAAACTTGCAATCAAACATCACAAGACATGATAATTTAATTGTTGTTCCTGTCATGCTACCTGTTATTCAACTAAGCCGGAAATAGCAGTCAGCTGTGCACAGACCGATGTTTTGGTCCAATGTACCGGTGTCGGTGATTCAGATGAAAACGATCCAAAAATATAACATCAAAGAATTTCTGTTCCATTATCAGAATAATTTATATGTCAAGCAGTTATTCTAACAGAGATCATCGTATAAGTATAATGCATGTTTGCTATGAACAAATTTAACATAATAATAAGCATTGCTAAGCACTTTGGGTTACCTGGCTGGATACATTTTACATAGGAGACAGTTTGACAAGTCACCGATGTCTTCCTGCGGTACGTGCCACTTTGATTGTGAAAACAAAATGTTGACAATTAATTGTCAAATATGACTTCAATGAGCCAATAACGCGGGTCTTGGGGTCAATGGATGACGAGGCTGTAATCTGTTCGTGATTACTGAGAAAAATGTGAAATTGGTGCTATCGCAGTAGGCGTGAAAAACGGACCCTCACATAATGTGGTAAGCGGACGTTTCACTCACGGTTTCTCCGTTGTTATTGTAAACAGTTTTAATGAATGAAAATGGTATTCAATTTAATCAAATAAAATGTGTTTTCTGACATCATACATTCTCGGATGGCGGTGTTTACCAATGCAAATACGCGGTGTGTTGCATCACAGCAAATGTTGTAAGTACTCGGCTGATGACATGTCTTTATGATAAAGTTATTACGATGTTTCGCAGTTCATCTCTTATTATTACAAAAAAACTGCATGTCTTAAGCATCTGAAAAACCATGGATATGTACGATAAACACTGTTAATTGCAATCCGCACTGAATTTCACTAGTTTACAATGTGATTAACCAGAGCTCAGCAGCAAATTTGTTTATGTGCTATTTTCGATGATGTGAATATGTGTGATCACTGGGCAACTTTTTTATGGGAGCCACGAATTTCCCCGCAGGTTTAAACGAATCCGCAGTATCGCGAAGGGCGTTATTGTGAGGGATGACTGTACTATACATCCATGGGCCTAGCATTCAATACAGCCTTGAAGCAAGGCTAGCTTGTGGCCACTTGATGCTTCTTATGACTGGTTGAGCTTCAGTTGTAAGAGGCGACATACGATGCCGTGAAGAAACCAAGTCAGCAAGCTTGAACACCAGATCCAGTACTGGAGTTACCTCTTACGACGGACATGGGTTGCTCTAGAGTGAGTGAGTGAGTTGGGTTTCGCACAGCCTTTAGCAATATTCCAGCAATGTGACTGCGGGGGACACCAGGAATGGGCTTCACATATTGTACCCATATGGAGAATCGAACCGGGGTCTTCGGCCTGACAAGCGAACGCTTTAACCACTGGACCACCCCAATGCTCCAGGCTGCTCTGGAACCATTCCTACCCAAACTTACAGTATAATCCTGAGTCCAGACAGTCAAAGACTTCTATAAAGGCGTGACTGTGTATGTAAAGTTTGAAACTGATTTTTAGTATAAGTTACATGTGCTATTTTTATGACTCAGAGCAGTTTCAACCAAATTATCATTTTCCATTCCACATCTGTCTGTTTTGGTAAATGTCATGTGCGGAATGGAGAGTTAATAATATTGGCTTAGTTTCAACTCTAAAACTACATTGACACATTTGCTCTGTTCCAATAAGTTCCCCCTGACCAAACTTCTAGGCCAGTCTGTCTAGGGCCCCTTTAACACACTGTTCATGTGAATAGTTTTCCTTCCTTCATCCCTGTCTGAGACAAAGGAAGACCTGGCTTATTCACTTGATATTCCTGCCTATTCTTTCACTATGTAGACAGCCATGGTTAATCCAGTTAGACTGATTTCCGTGGACAGAAGTTCCAGCAGTCAAGGGAAGATGATTACAGTAAATGGGCTTATCTTTCGTTTCAAATGAAGCCATTTCCATTTGCTGGTTTATATGATTTGTCCAGCTACTCTATGACAAGTGTGATGTTACTTCAACCTTTATCCTTCACATGGTTGGACCATGATACATTTGACTCTGAAGAAAAGTTCTAAGAGTATCAGTTGTGATCCATGCATTTTTTCAAAATGGCTGCTGACGTGCCAGATTTATGTGGAAGGAAAACCTCAAGTAATGCAGGTCTTAGAGATTTACTGGTGTGGTTATACTTACCAGCATTGATATGGTGCTAAAACAGCTGGAAACATCAATGCAGATCAAGGATTCAAACCCATCATCACTGGTTCCAGGCACACCAAAGGGACACAACTCTGTAAAGCTATTTGTAGTGCTGAATCAAGTCAGCATGCCATAATATAACTGACATATGTTCTAAACGACACTGCACCAAACACACTAACATTAACCAAGCACACAAAGCAATACTAGTAGTTCCGAGCTAGATGAGGAATGGTTGGGCTCGTCCTGTGGGGTTAGGTTCCTGACAGGTTCCCAGACACTCTCAGATTAGCTGCCATGTCTTTGAGAGGTAATTGTCTGGGAATCGGTGCCATATTGATACGTTATTACACTTGCTCAGCCGAAGTTATCAGTATGAGGTTCTGTCCCTGATTGAGTTGTGTTTTCTCCTGAGAGACGGCGGGATTGGAGAGGACATTTCTGGTTGTGACTGAGGGTTATTAACCTAATACAATGAATACACATGACGATTTTAGATATTGGAAAAATAACATCGCTCTTAATGCTGTGCATCAGATTTGAAATATGTTGCATCTGAAATCAAGAGGGAATATTGGGTAGTGAGGATTGTTTGTGTTTGTGAGGGGATCGACTGATAGGCACGATGAACACACCTTTTCGCACATCATTTTAATTGTGATTCATAAACACTTGCTATTTATTCAGTCATGCATGCTGCTCTTTGAAGAGATTTCTTATGGTGATGGAATTGTTTTGGTCATGATAAATGTACCCTCACCAGATGGACAAATGTTTTTTGAATAGTTTGTTTGAGATAATACTTTAATTAGGGGCTAGTGTGAGGCATCGAGTGACCCATTTGCTCTTCAGTGCTCCATTTAACAATAGAGCCTGTAATTCTTGCGAGGCTCTACTTCTGGTTAAGCTGGTTCCCAGTAGGGGTGACCATTGGGGGTGAAACATTTTACTATTGTGATAGCGATAGTCTATTGCGATATACTAATGGATTATCGGTTCTTTACTGTCAACTGACAACCATGAGACCATTCGAAAAGGTATGAAACGTTGTTTGTCACCGGAAGTCAGCAGCTCAAGTTCCGCGAAGAGTCGTGAGCTGCTTACGGACCCTGTGCATCCATTCCAAGGCATGGATGCGCAAGAAAGAAAGAACTGTTTCAATGATCATGGACAATATTGCAGTTTTGCTTAACTCATCAGAACTAATACATATCTTATACTTGACTTAATGCAGCTGTTTGCGATTCTTTTCTTTGGCCATTAAAACCTGCATTTCTACTCAATCAGCAGTTAGGTGTGTCTGCTTTGTCAGTGGCTAATTTCTGTCCAATCAGATTGAAATACAGTATTAATTAAGTAGGAATTTGTATCCGGTTTTAAGTGTATCCTGTTTTATTTATTGATTGTTAAAGAGACAGATTTCAGTGTAACAGTTTAGACACAGTCTGCTGATAAGGAGATGGATGTTTACCTACTGGTATCTTATCAGAACCTGCATCCTGAAATGAACTAATTGGGTGCTGCTAATCTCTTTCTGAGTGGCATGGCACTTGACATTATAAACCTCAAAATCGACATAACACCAAACACTCATAATTACAGGCGTAAACATTCCCTCTGGATAATGGTTGCCTTATTCCTGTGGATTCCACAGATACATACAGAATGGAAATGAAATTTTTAACTAAGTCATAGCTATCCCTAGTGGTATGCTTAAAGAGTTACGCGGTTATCTCCCTTAGGCTAGCTGTGACGTCACAACATAGTTGTTGAAAACCTCTCATAATTTTTCTGTATGGACAACACAGAAGACGTGTTTACAGAGTGGAAGTGTTTTTTAACTTTTCTTCAAATTTTCAACAACTTCAAGACTCCTGGTGAGTAGTGTTGCATTGGTTGATGTTTCTGACAATCGCATTCTATATTTTGTGCATATTGCTTGATTTTCATCTAATTTTCCCGCCAAAAATCATAATGTCTCAAGCACGTGTCTGCAATCTCAAAAAATTCATGGCCAAGTTGTATCCCCATTTCTAATTGCCTCCTGCCTCACGGGTCCTCCCTACTCTTTTTATAACCGATTTTCATTGTGTCAAGAATTTTTTTGTAATGTGATGGATTAATGGACAATATTCGGCATTATTTCATCCCTTACGGGGTACATTCATTCGTCCATATATCTATTCTTTGCAAATTCGATAAAAAAAGAGGCTAAAAATTAATCTGCAGAGGCAGTTTGATCAGGCTGAAGCCCGTCGGCCGTGTGCCGTACAGACTCGAAAGACCACGGCCAGGGCCATCGGTCTAGAGTCTATACCCGTAGGTCGTTATGGTGCTCTACTCGGGAAAGCCGTAGTATCACCCGCGAACTGAAGCTGATGAGCAATCCCCACGGGGGGAGAAGCCAAGGTTTTGAGCGGGAGGGACTATGTCGACGGTTCGACATTAGGCAGGATTTGCCCATGGCGCAAGCCAAACGGGCCCTGCCTTCAGTCCCTGGGTTTCAACCGGCAACGGTTACAACCCATAAAAGCCCTCTCGGCTGGCCACCCTTTCCCGCGCAGCGCGGATTGGAGCCGCGCGAGCATAACAGGGCTGATCCCGTGGACCGCTTGCGGCCCACACGTATGGGATCGTCCCAGTCAACCGTGCCGGCTACGGGAGATCCGGGCTTCTCGGCTGTCCATCAGCTGCCGTCTCCCGTAAGCCACGGGTGGTCTGGAGACGCGCGAGCATAACGGGGCTGATCCTGTGGTCAGCTTGCGGCCCACTCGTATGGGATCGTCCCAGTCAACCATACCGGCTACGGGAGACACGGGCTTCACGGCTGTACACCAGCTGCCGTCTCCCGTAGCCACGGGTAGTCCGGCGCATCGGTGGCATGGCATAACGGGATATATCTCGGCTCAGATTGACACCGTCTAGGTCGATGAGGTCGACCGACGGTAGCTTATGCCCATGGCACAAGCCGCATGAGGTCCTGCCGTTAGTCCCGGGGGTTCAACCGCTTGCATTTGACCCTACTGATAATAAGTCCGCTTGGCAGGCAATCGTTTATTTCCGCGCATGTGGTCGGAGTCGCAGTTTAACGTGACCGACCCGAGTGCCATCCACGGAATCGCCGGCAATAGTAACTCGTGATGACGCCGCAAGAGCCCTAGTTTAGGCAGCTGAGGTACTCTTTAGTTTATACGTGGGTAGTCGAGTATCAACCACAGAGTGAGCTAGTTAAGTTTTCCGCTTCACTCAGCAATATTCCATCTGTATGGTGGCGGTCTGTAATTAATCGAGTCAATCAGACAATCAAGCTTATGTTCAACAACATGAGCATCGATCTACACAATTGGGATACGATGACTTATTGTGCTAACCAAGTCAGCGAGCCTGACCACCTGTTTCTATTAGTCGCCCTTTATGTTAAGTAGAGGGACCTCCCAAGACATTTCTTCCCCATTCATCACTGGTAACGGCATTGGGAATTCTCACTTCTCAACTCTCGGTAGATATCTACCTTCAGGGGATAGATAGATATAAGGGTGTCAGCAGTGTTTGTCATGACGCAGATAACCTGCGTTTTTTAACACACAATTATCTCAAATAGGCAGTGGATTTAGAAGCTTGCGTCATTGTTGACAAACTGCTACTGGGCCCTTAGTTCAGATAATCTAACTTGGGTTCTATCCAATGACTGTTTTGTTTTTTGTGGTCGTTTTGTTTGTTGTTATTAAACAATCAACATTGATGTCTTGATGGAAGTTCCAAACTGACGTTTACTCACAAAACATATCCATGACTCCTTCGCATATGTCACTTGAGCCTACGACAACTCTGAGCTAGGTAGTTGTCGATCTCGTCTCCACTCGACAATCTGTTCCACTTGGCGTGGTAAACAATGATATATATTTTCATCATCTGGGCCTATTACTTCGTCTACTACTTCGGTTTTTCATCCGTTCCATTGGAATCTACCTACGGCCACGGCTTCCAAACAACCCGGTACAGTTGTTTAAGGTACTCTGTATCTCATACAAGAGTCTAAATGGTATGGCACCAAATAAAGTGAATGGCTAACCCGCTTCAACCACCCAGACAACTACGATCTGGAAGCAAATCTTATTTAATATTCCTTCTTACAGACTGCCTTGGCCTCTTATTGCGAGTGTTCTGTCAGTGGTTGCGCGCCATCACTGTGGAATAGACTGTTCCTCGCTATAAACTGTTTCAATGTTTTATTGCGTTCAGATCACATCTTTCAATGCATCTCTTTCATTGTACTATTAACTCAAACCTCACTTGTGGTTGGATTTCGCGATATATAACCTTTCAGTAATATTATTATTATTACTATTACTGAATTAGAAACACCACGGCTATATTCGAGGCCACGCTTCAAATCAATCTGCTGTCCCACGAGGCGACAGCAGTTCAGGTAGCACGAGTCGGACCAGGTGACGACCAGGTGATTGAATCAGATAAGGGGATGACACGTGCATTTTCTTGCCAGAATGCACTGTCAGCTGAGCGATCAACGGGAGGCACGGGCGATATACCGTTAGGTTGGAAACAAGACTGATATCCAGTCACTGAATACAGGCAACTGAGTTTATTCAAATTGCCTCGATATAACCAAGCAGGGTACATGGGTACCTGGTGGGATAATTCATGTGGCTATTCAATTTTCTCGCGCCTCTGGCAGCATGGGTTTTCAGGGTAATAAAAGGTAACATGTCAACACCTTGAGCATGTGCCTTGTACCTGGAAAAGCGCGTTATAGGGCACATTTATTGTTCTAACAAGTGCCTATTATCCCTCTGCTTCTTACGGATCTTGGAAGGTGTATTCCGTCGTTAGTTTATTTTCATCACCCTCATCTCCCTAAACACGCTAATGGCATCTTCCGTCTGGTCTACCAACTTCTGCCATGCTTTGCGACCATGTGTTACGCTGGGCCCCATCTCACTTATCGCAATATACGCGAGGTGGCGCAAGTTTGCGAGTGCAAAGGGAGCCGGAAACCAGCTTGGGAACCAGCTTAGACATTGTGTCAGCTAAAATATAACGAATTTTTTCATTGGCTGATAAATAGTATTTACTGCGGAATGAATGACGCTGATTGGCCGAGAGCTAATACATTGTAAATGGACGCCGTAAACATCGTGTTGTTGGGTTTTAGAGTGTTACGGGGCGGCATGAGTTTAATCATAGGTTAATCAACGGCTCATTGAATTGTAATATCTTTTTCTATGAAGGTACATTCTTTGAAAAATATGACGCGCCATTGGAGATGCGCTGTAAGCGTTTTATGCACCATGTGGGAAATTATTCCGTGATTTCATGTCTGCGTTCACTGTACAAGTGGCTGGACAATTCAGTGACGATATTGCAAATACGAAGGCTTAGCATCCTTGGCTAGGGGTATGGATAGACAAGCCAATGTCAACCTGGATAGGATGGGGTTGTTTTTTCCTCGCCAGTGCTTCAAATTGATAGGGATTTCTCACACCTATCCTCGAAATTATCCAAAAATTTCGTTCTTATTTACGTCACGTTACTCCTAGTCCTAGGGAGTTTTAGGTTTTCGACCGTGCATACTAGATCGATATCTTTTCATACGGCAGTTGCCTTGTCTTGGGAATCGGGTAGCTTCCTCACCCAGGTTTTGAGGATTATATGGCAATTCATCAAGATTCCATGGTGGTCATGTCAGCCCACGAAGGATGCTTGCCCACTCCTTTTTTAGATGTCGTTTTTCAGGCAGTTTCCGATGCCAATCACACTCGAGTGATTGTGTTAGACCATTCGGCAGCTATAGTACCATCTCACCTCTTGACTGGAGATACAAATCTTCCAGAACAATCCAATGAGGAAATTATTTCAACAATTTCTGGATATTTTTCATTGTTATGATATCGCTCCTACAATTTGTTATGTTGATGGGAATTCAGATTCAGGGCTATCTCAACGATTCTTAGCAGATTTCTACTTTTTCTCAGTGACGTTAAGACACTGAAACACAGTACTATGGTGGACTACAGATCAGCAATCGCTTCTGTTTGAGATATACAAGAACTAGCAGTGGTTCTAACAGCTTGCTCTACAAGCCGATTAGTTCATTCCAGTTAAGAATTTATTTATTATTATCATTATTTTCAGCTCCTAGTCCTACAATCTTCCCCAAGTTGGCTTTATGTCTAATTCTGTAGTCTCTCCAGAAGTCTTCCAAACCTATGTAGGAAATTTATTGTCATTTCTTCTCCATAAAAGGTGGGTTTTCTACTTGTCATTGCTACAGCTTCCAGCTCCAGAATACCAGAAATTTTTGGCCATAGGTTTTAGTCAGTCACCTTTACAGGAGGCTATAGATGGCTGCCATGTAGAACTTTACCAGTTTGTTCTTGCCAAGAATCAGGCTTCTGCTGGCGGTCTCTCAGCCACAGAGTATACCAGATTCAAGTATTCCCTACCTCTGCCTCTAGATCAGACAGAACTAGACTCCTATGCCCTATTCGAGCTCTGAGAAGGTATATCCAGCATGCTCTCAATATCAGACATAGTTGCTGCTGTTTGTTTGTTTTGTGTTTGTTTTGTTTTATTATCTCATGCAAGACAATTGTTGATTTGGAGTTCTTGATTGAATATTATATCGTCTTGGCTTAGGAAGACAATCATTTCTTGTTTACCAGGATTTTGACCCCAACTTAGTGAAGAATAGTTTTCCCTGCATGAGACCAGGGCCTGGACGTCGTCACTTGCAGCTTGGGGGTCCATTTCAATAGATCAGATTGTTGCTGCATGCCGGTGGAAGATCTCTAATCCCCACACCAATTTGCTTTTGCAAAACTCATTCCATCCTTAGAGAGCCTACGGACAGCGCCTCTCCTCTTCTTGTTTTTCCCCTTGAAGGGGAAAAAGAAGGGGGTGGGTGGGGTGGTGCATATTTATATATATCCAAACTCAGCAGTGGTTCACTGTCTTTGGACTGTGAGGGAGGAAACAGGTTAACAGTAAACGGAAGGATGAGGATCTTTGAAGAACCGTATCTACTAATGTTTATCACCAGTGGAATTATTATATCCGCTGCAGTTATTACTCCAGTTAAATAATCCACAAGAAGACTTGAAATCACAAACCGGAAGTGACGTCACGAACCGGAAGTGATGTCAATGAACCGGAAGTGGCGTCAATGAACCGGAAGTGACGTCAATGAACAGGAAGTGACGTAATCAAACAGGAAGTGACGTAATCAAACAGGAAGTGACGTCACAGAAACCGGTTAAAATGAGAATCAGTCAATAGACTATTACAGAACCGGATATGACGTCTGGGACCGGAAGTGACGTCACAGTCTTCTCCAAACACCAGATACTTCTCCCTCACAAGGATGATCTTTCCCTTTAGGTAATTAAATACTGAAATATCCAGGGAATGATCTAGGTAATCCATATGTATATTACATTTCATCACTTAAGTCATAGTTATCCTAATTGTTATGTCATAGACTATAACGGGATAATTAGTGGTATTGCTGTATTCTAAACCCTCCTTCCTTATGTGAGATTCTGGCAACCATAATCCAGAGGGAATGTTTACGCCTATAATTAGGAACAATTACATGTATTGTTAGTAATTGTTAGTAAACTTACCTCTGGATTATGGGATCTAGTGCCCACCAGACCTCCCCACGAGGAGATGCAGAAGACGTCAGTTTTCTTCAGAAAAATCATGAGGTTTTCAACAACTATGTTGTGACGTCACAACTAGCCTAAGGGAGATAACCGGGTAACTCTTTAAGCATACCACTAGGGATAGCTATGACTTAGTTAAAAATTTCATTTCCATTCTGTATGTATCTGTGGAATCCACAGGAATAAGGCAACCATAATCCAGAGGTAAGTTTACTAACAATTACTAACAATACATGTAATTGTTCCTAACTGCACAAAGCTGCTCGGGGTGGTGGAAGTAGTCTAGTGGTTAAAGCGTTTGCTCATCACACCAAAGACCTGGGTTCGATTCCCCACATTTGTGAAGCCCATTGTGTGAAGCCCCGGGTCCCCCGCCGTGATATTGCTGGAATATTGCTAAAATTGGCGTAAAACTAAACTCACTCACAAAGCTGCGGAAGGGCTAGCATATAGCCAGATTGGTTTGTTTTCTTACCGTCAATTTTTCTTTGTTATGTAAAGAGTGAGTGAATATGTGTTTATACCTTTCTCACCAACATTCAAACAATATTAAGCCAGGAAACAGCAGAAAGACATTTCACACATTGTGAATATGAGTGGAATCAAACCCAGATTTTGGGTTTGATGATGAAACACTTTAACCACTTGGCTATCACACTGCACCCTATTAAAAAATATAAAAATGTCAGGATTGGAAATACCATTGTCAAAAAATGCAACCAAAGTGTAAGAGGCGACTAACGGGATCGGGTGGTCAGGCTCGCTGACTTGGTTGACACATGTCATCAGTTCCCAATTGCGCAGATCGATGCTCATGCTGTTGATCACTGGATTGTTTGGTCCAGACTCAATTATTTTCAGACCACCGCCATATAGCTGGAATATTGCTGAGTGCGGCGTAAAACTAAACTCACTCATTGTTACGACAAGCATGGGTTACTGAAAACCAATTCTAACACAGATCTTCATGGGTCATCTGTCACAATTAGTAGAGTTGTCTGATGATATCTTTATTATTAAACTGGGAAAAGGGGGAAAGTCATGCTATTTCATCCATGGCCATATCATCCCAGAAAGGGGTGATGGGGTCAGTAGTAAAAATGTTCACTCGTCATGTCAATTCCCCTCATGGGTTACAGTTTGTGATGCCATTTTGTGGTGTCCCCTCGCCATGGAATATTGCTAGTTGCTAAAACTTTATTTACTCATACCAAAAGAGTTAAAAGATGATACTCACTTTTACCTGCCGATCAAGGGAATGAAACACACCTGGTCGGTATGTTGCATCTGAGTCGCACATCGCATGGTACATTTTGTATCTCAGTACTGCATTTGTCATGACGATTACAAGCAGACGTCAACACATATTTCTATAAAAGTGCAACAATCTTGATGCTTGGTTGGTTTGTTGTTGAACGCTACACTCAGCAATATCGCGGCAGTCTGAAAATAATCGTGTCTGGACCAGACAATCCAGTAATCAACAGCAATAATCTTGAATGCAACATTAAATCTGAAATTGCATCTCAGACTTGACCTTTGTAAATATTTCAACAGCAATGTGAAAAAGTAGCTTCTGTCGTTCATTTTAGCAATATATTAGTGTAATGCCCAAAGCAAGAGAAAGAAAAGATGAAGGCTTCTCCGATGTATATTTATGCAGCATCAGCAAAATGTCCTTACTTCGAAGAAGGCACTTTGTGTAATGTAAACAGCTAGTTTTACAATCAGTATTTGAGTTTAGTTAGAATTATGTTTCATATATCTTTTTATTCTGTAGTAAAAAATTCATACACTAACTTGTACTTGCAGGTAGTTGAAAGGTAACATGGCTTAACTCATTAAGGCCGAGAGACGCATATAGGGGGCAAATTAATCAGCTCCTCACAGCGAGTGATGTGTTTATGGGGCAGGTAATTAGCAGTTTCTCACAGCGAGAGCCACATACAGTCGTCAACAGAAAGCACCTCTTATTCAGCGAGAGACGCACATGTGTGTTGTACTTTTAAAAATCGCACTGTACCTATTATTTCAACCAATTTAGCAGTACTGAGCAAATGTTAGCTTTTCTTACGAGAGATCCCACCTTTAGTATCAATCAGAAGAAGTATTTAAAGTGTTTTGATAACAATTGCTAATCATTATCATAGGCTTGTACAGCATTTAGCAAATGAACGCATGTCGGCGAGAAAGGGGATTATGATGTTTTTACAGAGGTAAGTGCCTGGTACTCTTCCTTGGGAATGGATACTAAAATAC